CCCCAAAACCCCAAAACCCCAAAACCCCAAAACCCCAAAACCCCAAAACCCCAAAACCCCAATTTATTAAGACTTGGCTGAACAGTAAGGATAATGCATACGAATCTCCTGAAAATGCCAAAACTATACTAATATAACTGATACATCGCATTGCATTTAAAATCTCTGATCAACCACCTTATTAGTGTTGTCTTCTGACTGAAGCGAGGAGGTCAAGCAGGGCTTTACCTATTCATTCAAAGTCTAAGATTAGTACAAATTTTTCCTAAAATTTTAAACTATCAAAATTACGGAATTCCTCCATAACGCCCCTTGTTTTCAAGAATAAAAATTGTAAGAATTTGAGGCAAGTTTAGAAATTTGAGTGAAATTTCAGGAATTTAAACCGAATTCTGCAGAAATATGAGAGCTCAGGAAGCCCTAAGTCAGGATATAGTTGAGAATTTTTTAAGCTGATATTAAGAATACCTATTATTCCTCCTTCCAGTCTTGAGAATAGGACTGAATATATTCCGCTTCAAGCCTTCTTCAGGGTTACTGATCCAGAAATTTGAAGGTTTTCTTTTAGAGCACGGCTTTTTGATCTTGAGCTTTTTCTTTGGCTCAGCTTTTGTCTTCAATTTATTTAGACTTTTTTGTTTGTTTTCGAGTGCCTTTGTTAATTGAGATGAGCAGACAGAGGGTTTCTTGGTATTGACAGGGCGCTTTGGAGCAGAATTAGTTCTAAATTTCTCTTTCTGCCACTGATTTAAGTATGATTCAAAGATTTCTATCCTTTTATTTCTATTTTGAGCATATCTTCTCTAACTTGTGTTCAAGGGTTTCCAAATTAGCATTATCAATATAGTTTTCACTGACAGACGTCGCTGTCTGGAAAGTACCATATCTTTGTAAATGTTGGTCTTCATGAGTAGTAACCTGATCGTTCTTGTCAATAGTAGTGTATTTAGATTTTGGAATAAAACTTTCCTCTCTAATTTGGCTAGAATTGTCCGGATACATCTCTCATGAGTTAGTATCGCTTTGAGAACTGGCAAAGTACGGGCTATTCACATCCTCAGATATAGAGTCTAACGGTAACTGAGCAGCAAGTAATCCAAGCTTTGGGACAACGTATTTTACTTCCTCTCTAATAGGATTTTCGATATCCTCTCCATTTCTTATTTGATCCTCGGTCATTCGGATCGAAAACAAGATTGGCTCAGTTTTAAGCGTAGGAGATTTATTTAGATGAGAGATGTCTGACTCTTCGAGCTCTCAAAAAGAGTCTTCCATGATGCACTCCAAATTCTTAGATAACTGATTGATTGACTTTTGAGATACATCTTTTGAGGGATCTCTCTTGATTTCTCCACTAGAAGAGGCCTTCTCTTCGTTTGAAGAGTCGATATTCGAAAATTTCATTTCATCAGTGATCACAATATTATTTCTCGGTGAAATGAGATCAGTATTATCCAATTGTTTATATCTTAGGTTAGGAGAGAGAGTTGTCTTGGGTCTCAAGATATCCTCCTTAAGCTCAGTATCTCAGTTAGTCTGATTTGATACTTTAGAGCCTGTAAGGGGGTTGCTGAAAAGGTTCCTGCCCATTTCAACCTCTCATTCATTCTTTTGAGCATTAGACACCAAATTGTTTGACTTTAGGAACTCTCTAAACTTATGGAAAGAACTCTTAGGACTTGGTGTGCGGAAATTATCTTCATCTTTATTCAGAAAGCTCTGAGGCTTTTCTATTTTAGGACAAGTAGATTGACTACGTTGAGTTTGAGCAAAATTATTGATCTGAAGCACTTGGTCTACTTCTAGAATACTCATCCGAACCTTATCAGCAAGTTGCTTGTTTGTGATGTCGTCCCATTTGAAATCATCAATTTTCTCAGACATGTAAAAGCAATTAGGGCCGAAATCGAAGTATGAAGGCTTTGGTCTTTTACTTTTCCGTTTAAATTGCTCCCTAAGAGAATATCTGTCTACACTTTTTGGCAACGGAGGTTTAGAGTGCCTATTCTTTTGGAATGGGCTTAACGTCCTGGTAGGTCTATCCACAGAGAAGTTCTCAGTTTGGTTGAATTTTGTGAGTGTGTGGTAAAGATTTCTATTGGAGTTATCTGCTAGAACCTCTTTAAAGAAATCAAATCTGCTATTTGCTTTCAAGTTCATCAACAGCACCTTCTTTTAAAGATGTCAACTTAATTATTTGTTTTTTGATTCTCGTAAAGCTGGAATTCTTTAATGGGGACTTCTCTATCATTGCTACTGCTCATCATTACTTCAGAAGATTTTTTAACTGATGAGTCAAAACTCAGATCACCAAGCATGAACTTTTCTATACTTTCATCGGTACTCTTGTTCTCTAAATAAAAATTAATTTTCCAAATTATTAAATTACACTAAATTTTACCTCAACTCTCCAAAAACAATACAAACTTTCTCACCCAAAAATTCCTAAACTCCCCCACCCTAGGGTCAAACCCCAATTCCAACCCCAAATTATCCCTCTAAAACCCCCATAGCTTACTCCTAACCCAAAAACCCCAAAACCCCAAAACCCCAAAACCCCATATAAAGGGAGTTTTATATCATTTTGGAAATAAATATTAATTTATTACAATGTTTTTCAAGATTCTAACTCCTTCAAAGGAAGATTCCTCTGAAGCAACAAAGGAAGAAGATTCTTCTACTCAAAGGTAAGATACTACTCCATCAAATCCTATAGTCGTGCAAGGTTGGGAATGCTGAAGAATAAAATTCCAACACCTGCTTACACTTTCACTACTAATTCAGGAGCGTTGCCAGGAATAATTTCTACAAATTGCCCTGACATTTCTCATCTACCAATGCAATTAGTGCTTGCTGATATTTATCATCTACAGGAGATAATAGAAGAATACAAGAAATTCTTGAGTGAAAGTGAAGAATTCAAAGAATCAGAAGAGGTAAAACCTCTTATGAAATATCTGAACCACTCTCAAGACACAATTTCCTTTCTTACAATGGGTATTGCTGGAGAAGAGAAGGTCAATGGACACCCAAAAGATATGAGAATGGAGTTTATCCAAAAGGATTCCACTACAAGGTAGGCTTATCTTCTCAAAACGTAGGTTTCAAAACGAGGATTACATAAAAGCTGTGAAGACATTCCAGCCTGATCTTTTCATGACTCCTACTCATTCCATCACTGGCAAGACTAGTAAAAAGAAGAGAGAAAGAGCTGTGAAGGCAAGCAGGGAGTATATCACTCCAGATCTTGTATCTAATCTCCCAATTAATGAGTAAATTTTCAATAACCCTTTAGAAAATCCCATATGTTGATGACCATCAGTATTGAAGAGTCATACAAGATGATATCTCCGATTATTTATGAGAAGATTGAAGAATTTAGTAGTAGCATCTCTGGATACTTCTTTAATGTTGACTCATTAAAAGCACAGACCAGATATATGATCTTCAACCAATTTTATGAGAAGTATCCAGAGGACACCAAACTTAGAGTGCTTGAGAGCACTGGTAATCCTGTAAATGTGCTGGAGAATCTTCTTCTAAATGGAATCGACCTCTTCGAAGCTAGATATCCCATTGATATTAGTGAGAGGAATCTTTGTTTGGATATTCAAACCCAAATGCCTGAAGAATGGAGAAATGAAGAGACTAAAGAAGAATTCACAAGCGAGAGCTTACTTAGTTGTGTCAAGAAACCGAAAACACTTGATTTATCAGATAAAGCTTTTAGAAAAGACTCAACTGTGCTAACTGAAGGTAGTGATTGCCCAGCAACAAATTCAATCAATAGGTCTTATATCTATCATCTGTTAGACTGTAATGAGATGAATGCCACTATTTTGTTGACTCTCCATAATCTCGAAATATACAACAAATTCTTTGAAGCGATAAGGTTAAACATAGAATCAAAAAATCTCCCAAAATATGCAGAGTGGTTTATAACAACACAGTGTGAGTAATTCTTAATTATCCACTATATAGAGGGAGTTTTAAGGGGTTTTGGGGTTTTGGGGTTTTGGGGG